GCTAATGTCTCTCACAGTTTCTCCCATATATAGTCACGTCAAAATTTAATAGCAGCAAATTTGAGTGCTCTTCCACACTGTGGTCTGGTCATGTTTACCTCGGGGAGTGGACTTACCCGCTGATAAGAAAAAGTCTGACTATCCTAGGATGAAGAACATCATTTGCAGGATTGTGAAACTGGTAACTGCCGAGGACATGTCGAGAAAAGGCATGAGAATCATAGCGATCCAGCGGGTGGTGACGGTGGTGCTGAACCCTGCCAATAAGCAATATTCATTGTACTATATACGCTCACTACAACAACTCGTATGTTAGAATTCTTTTTTTCTTCTATAATTTATTTGTATAGTGGTGTAACGCATTCCTCATTTTCATGATTTTGCATAGCAAAGAGAGTTGTGACGGTCTTTATTAATTTATAAAGAACTCGAACGACGCAGTTTGTAAATAGCACCTTCGACAACAGATAAAACCATTAAAAAGGTTGTGGCTCAAGTTTTGCTTGAGCAGATGTCCATTCTGTTTGACTCAGTGTTGGGTACTCACGAATTTGCATAAAGAGTTTGAATTAATTGTGACTATTTACTACTCACCCAGCTCCTTTCCGGCTCTCTGATGCTCAGGTGCTAATCTCTACAGTTGACTGAGCTTGATAGAATTTTTATGGTAACTTCCAATAAGAGCTTATGGTATGGCCAATTTTCGGGACTATGTGCTATTTGCTTTATTTCCATGTGATACACACTTTCATAACTATCGCTACAATGGAATGCCATTTACATAAATTCATTTCACTTATAAATGGAAACTGTGGAGAACTTTATAGTAAGAAACGTAGCACTTCTTGTTTCGGTTATATTAAATCGGCTTCAGCATGTTGCTGTTTCCATAAATGTTAGAAATTTCAATAGGAAAATGCCGCTTGTAATCAAGAAATCTACAAAACCATACAAATATATATTTGAGTATATACTATAATATATATAACAATATTATATCTAAAAAGTTTATCTATATTAATTTTACAACACAATGGATTAGCTACTCGTCTTTGTCTTTTTCAAAAGCTTCGTCATCATCATCCTCAGAGCCTCCCTCAAATGCAGAGTCGTCGGATAAATCCTCGTTCTGGATGGTAGACCAGGGATAAACAGAAGCGCGCCGTCTTTGTTCTGAAGGAGAAAGTAAAGTGCATTGGTTTTTTTAAACTAACACGAGATGAGCTAAAGAACCTCCGATATTGATAGCCTGTTTAAGCTGTGCCGTGGAAGGTTTTTCTGGCTTGAGCACCTCA